TGGGAGCCACTTTGGCAGGGGAGTTCTCAAAGACAGAAAGGCTGCATTTATCTAGAGAGCATCTGGAAAGCGCAGACTTGCCCCAGACAGGAGGAGGACAGAACCTTTTATACTCATCCCAGCAGTACAGAAAACTGCGCGCGCATCCCCCTGACTTCAAAACCCCTCCCTCTGCATTAGTGTACCCCTTTTTTTCGCAGGAAATGGCACAGGGATATTCACAAAGTAACATAACATTCTTTCAACAAATTTAATTCCCATTGTTAGCCATTTTGACTACAAAAATCTTTCCTCTCTGACAAGGAATACTTTTCCAACAATATAATCACTATAATAAATTTGGAAAAGGCACTCAGGAATAATCACAAAGCCATATCCCATTCTTTCAACAAATAAAATCGCATTTGCAGACACTCAAGTGAATACAAAGTTATCTGTTTTCCCAACTAATCAGATCCAAATTAATTAAGTTCTCCAAAATTAGTCCAAATATGTACTCAATATGATCAAAGTATGTCCACATTAGTCCAAACACTTGAATGTTTTCATTAGATGAGTGTGGACTGATGTCTGTACACACCTTATGAATTGCTGAATTTTTGGAGGACAGTCCACACATATTCAAAAGATTTCACAGGAATGTTCACAAAGTCATATCACATTNATATCTGATTCTATTTCATGGGAATTCTGAAACCCTTGTATTTGTCCCACGAATTTATTTTTTTGCGGAAATCCCATGAGTTTTCAAACTTTCAGCACGGTTTCAATATTATATATTTGTGCTCGCAAACTAATTCGAGGTGGTTTTTATCTTCATAAACTAGAGATATCATCAGAATTATACAGCAGATAAAATGACATGGACTTTATATTTTGGTTAACATAAGAGATAAGTTATGATAGATAAGTTAGATAAGTTCTGCAAAGTGTGTTTTCAGAAATAAATTCGTTTATGCTTCAAATCATTCAAAAGCCAAAACAAATGAAGGGGAACATTCTCCTGTTTTCCATGTAAAATAAATTAATTTAAAAAAAGTAATCACTCGAGATTTTTGGAAATAATCCTCGTACCTTCATCATCGTAAGCTCCATCAGCAGGCAAATCCTGAGGTCTACCAGCCACCAACACCATCAGGCAGCAGATCACCACAGCCAGGAAAACCTGCAAAAAAATTTACAGAACAGTTCTTTGAAACACATATTCCACTATTGCAGAATTAAAAGAAAAACTCACCAGAAGCGAAATCTTGGCCATTTTCACACCTTAAAAATTTTTTCTTCTTCTTTCTCAACTTGGTCAACCACTCGACTCGAGTCTGCAGTGAACACTGAACACACTGGTCCACAAATCAGCTCATCTAAGTCTCCTCATATGTGTCGACGAGGAGGGGAAAAGTAGAGCTTGAATGACGAAGATGAAAGAAAGAAACGATGGACAGAGAAAAATAGACACACGATTGAAAAGAGAAGAAATGCACACACGAAGGAACGCGCTGAAGAGCGAAGCAATACACAGAAAACACTGATGGGTGAATATATAAGTATATATATGTGAGAGCTATATAGAAAAATAAAGGTGTTGTTCCACTTTCTCTTGCACCAAAAAATTTACGGATATAAAAAAAGAAAAATAACGATGTGTTCGTGCTTGAGTTTCCCGCAAGCAAAAAGTTTCTCTCTCTCAATTTTTCTTTTCTTTTTTTTTCTACCCCAAAGCCTCTCTTCAATTTTCACCATTGAAACTCTCTGATGGCAAGGAAGAGAAAGACTCCATGGAGAAAGTTTCCCGTTCATGGCAATGATAAATACTTTATGCCTCAGGGCAAAATTTATCAATTTCACTTCACAGAAAGCAAACATGTTGCTGTTACTCTCCAATAACTAATCACCAATGGCATATCACCTTTCAACCACCGAATACGTTTATGTAAATTTAGTCTCATGAGTATGGCACACAAAAACGCAAAAAAGAGACACAGTATTTTCAAAATTTTTAAAGCATATGAAATGGAAAATTCGAAAATTAAAATAAGGAATGAAACATTTGTAATTGAGAGGAGCGTTTATTTAAAATTTTAAAAATTAAAGAGAGCGCCTTATAGTCATATATACAAAAAATTATAATAACCCTGAATATCAATTCAGAGTTTTGCACTATTTCATTATAGGATCACAATCAAAACACTGTTGGTGGAAACTGATGAAATGTCATATGTCAAAAGCTCTTCTTCAGAGTTTGACAAAGAAGGAGTTTAACCCTTGTGCAGCAAAGTTGGGATATTTTTGCAAAATGTTGTCCCCATGAGGGCTGCAAATGAAAAACAACTTGATTTTGAACAAAGGCCCAAGTTGGAAAAAAGTCTGGTATTTTTTTTATAATCCAGCCAGGAATTTTGGCTTTAAAAAAAGCCCTTCCTGGGTGGAGTTTTTTCATGCATTCACAGCATAGGGTTAACAATGGGGGATTTCATGAGACAATGGGATTTCCTGTACACAGATTTTCCCCAACTTAGGCTTATGAAATCTAGGGGCATTTCTCAGACCTTTGATCAAACTGGAACAGCCTAAGAATCATTCTTATGAAGGTAATTGATTCTGAGCTGACCAGAAAAGGGAACATTTTTGGAAAAAGCTGAAAACTTATTTTGTGGGTTTCTGTAGCAGCAGAGAAGAAGTTTTCACAGAAGCTTTTTTTTATCAGGATAACTTTTCTTGGCCAACCAATTTCAAGTAATACAGAATACTGTATTCCATTTCAAATACAGTCAACCCTTGGTTAACATTCCATTTGCTGAACGTTTTTTCACTTAACGTTCCTGGTCCTGTGAGAAAAATCCCCTTGCTTAACGTTCTGAAATCAACTTAACATTCTGCAGTTGTGCAGCACTGGGTGATCAATGTGGATGCCTCCCTCCCTCCCTCCTGTACATTTTCTTGACTGTGACTTTTTCCACAGCTTTAACTGTGTTTCCTGATGTGTGGTGGTGTGGTGTTACAATTATTTTATGAACAATTGCAGTGTCACACACTGAATTTTGGGTAACACTTAGACCTTTCCTCGTTCAAAATGAATCTCTGATTTTAATCGAGTGAAGAACTGTGGTTACTTTTTGAATTTAATGGCAGTGCATAAAGCTCAGTTGTTTGAATACACTCTGTGATTAATTCTTGTCTGAATTTTGCCTTTAGAAAATTTTGCCTGACACCAATTAAATGTTTCTCCCTTATATCTTAAGGGAGAGACTACCTTGCTTAACGTTTTTTTTTAGCTAATGTTTTTTCCCACTGCACCAACTAAAAACATTAAGCGTGGGTTGACTGTAATCAGAGAAAAAGAGGAAATTCATGGCAAGTAGTTCTGAACTGATGAAAAACATTTGGTTCTGAACTGTTCTGATCTGAAATTCAAGAAAGTATTGTAGTTTTGGTGATTTATTCATAATTTGTCTGGATGTTTCAATAAGCAACAGAAGGTGAAAGATTTCCAGAGAAACTGTTTTCATCAGTAGAAAACACTCCCTCAAAAGCCTCAATTTGTAATGTCTATTGAGTTGTGTGATATTTTATTTAAAATCACCAAGGAGAATTGAAGGGAAATGTTGGTAAAAGTTCCAGAAGCATTGATAAATATTTGTTCTGAGCTGTGAGTATAAAAGATAAAATTTTTTTAAATATTTAATTCATGTAATAACTATTCTCTCAGAGTTTTAAGCAGCAGCAGAGAAGAACTTTCCAGGAAAGCTCTCTTCATCAGGACACCTTTCTTGACCAACCAGAGTAACAGACCTGGTCAAGGACTCAATCAGCTTGTTTCTGGTTGACAAAGTTAATGTCTGCCTCCAGACTTTGTTCAAATAGTTTCTGACCCCATCAGGTTCAGTGAAACAAGGTTCTTCGACTAATTTTCCAGCTTTCCTTTCAGACAATTTCATTTTGGCGGGATCAGCAGTGAACACCAATAACTGCGAACCGTCCCCAAGGTCTTGAGACGCGAGTTGAAAAAGCAAATGGCGCGCAGATTTCTCTCGCAAATTCTCCAATCCTTCCAAAATGGCGACTGAGTTGATGGAGAAGGTCTTGGTTAGTGTAAAGTCCAGGCGTAGGAGTTGCAAATCATCCGGTTCATCGGTGATTTGGATCTTGGCTGGAGACTCCGGGTCTGCCAATAAATTAGCCTTTTCTTTGGCTAGCTTTTGAGCCAATTCTTCACATACTGGCTTCAGTTTGGAGTCCAGTGGGATGATGAGTTCAGATGTTGATGGGGATGCTGCCTGAAAATTTCAGGAAATGTTGGCAGATATATTTACTATCATTGATGAAATAATTTGGTCAAGATCGAGTTATCCCAGCTGTGAACTTTTGAATTGGTATCATTAATCCTGTGTAATTTGTCTCTTGTAGTTAACAAGATTATTATTTAAAGTTTAAAATGCGAATGCTTTCAACAATTTTACCAAAGCAATAATATGTGAAAGTGAAAAAACCCTGGACCACATTCTGTTCATATTCATGCTTGGACACCGATTTTCGATAGCTTGTCACATTCTTGTACTTTCACTGAAATATACTGCGCAATGCTCCAGATAGTCCTGAAGCCGTGATGCTGAGTCACGCTGCTGGATGTGTGTATGAATAAAATGTCACTTTCGAAATGTTTTTGATAGCACCGAAGATTTTTCAAAGGGTTATTGACCTTAAAAAGTAACTTTAAATATACTGTTGAAGGAAAAACGAATTTTTGAAAAATTTGTATTTTATTAATTTTCTTATTTTGCGGAAATTTTAATACAGTTTTCATATACAGTGCATTTAATTTGATTCAATACACATTTATTTTTCTAAAAGCCATTGAGACATGGAAAATATCTTATTGTTCAAAAATTGCTCCCTTTTGGGACTTGGCAATTGGGTGACGTTATTCTGGCTTTGTTGTTTTTACACATACCCTAAAAGTCATTAAAAACAATAGTTTGTGTATTATTAGTTAAAACATTTCTTGTAGTAACAATCCAAGATTTCCAAAAATAGAATATCACCATAACAACAATATTCATACCTGAGAAAGACTTTGTTATTGTGGCTATTATAAATAATAATACAGCAAAATCTCTGTACAAAAAGTACCATGACAACAAAATTTTCAGTATAACAAACATTTTTCAAAGTCCCATCAGACATCCTATATATAGGGTACATATTAAAAAATTCCTTTACAACAAACTTGCCAATTCCAGTACAACAAACTTTTTTGGGGAACACATTATGACTTCTTAATGAAAAAACCCCTAATAAAGACAGTCGAAGTCTCACATTTCCCATTGAAAATGTGACTGTGACTGGTTTTTGGAACATTGGGTGAATTTGGGTGAATTTGTAAGACTTTTTGTCCTTGAATCCAATTCGGATTCAAGGACAAAAAGTCTAACAAATTCACCCAAACACCGTTTCTTTCAAAGATTGTTCCTATTGTTAGGAATTGGATGAAAAATTCCTCATCATGGTGAAAAGGCAGTTGGATGAAAAAAATGAACCTAGCAAAATTAATGTTCAAATGAGTTTGTATGCTTGAGAAACCCTAGATATAGTGATCCAACAATTGTAAGCAATTTTTAAACATTCACCCTTGAAAATCTTTGAAGGAGCTGCTTATATAAAAATGAAATAGTCAAGAAAAATTGCTAGTGTTATTTACTTTTTATTCAGAATACTGTACATGTTTTTCATCAAGAATAAAATCCATCTTTGAAGATCCCAGTTTTTTAAACGCTGAAAAACATCTGAAAAGAACACAAAATGAAGATATTAAATATATTCAGGTCTAATTGGAAGAAAATATTCCTATCACTCAATAATTTTCAAAATCTCATTATCATTACAAAAATTTTTCTTCTGAAGTCACCAAAAGTTTTTTGTTACAAGATTTTATTGTAATAAAATGAAATCATTTCTTACAGATGAGTTTGTTGTAATGCAACCCAATCCCAGCAAATAATTTGTTACAGGTATTGCTGCGCATAACAGTTACGCATTAAAAAATGCGTTTGTTATGCATCANGTGTTCTCAGGAGGGGGTGGTGGGGGAACTTCAGTTTCAGGTTCTGGTTGGTCTTCTGGTGGTGGTGGTGGTGGTGGACTTGAGGTGAAGAGAGTTGCACAGGGATCATCAGGGTCATCAGTGCTGCTGGATGAGTCTGTTCTTTGCTGACAAGCAATTGGGGATACCCATTTCCTGTCACCTTCTGGTGATGCTGGGGGTTCGCTTGGACCCCAAATCAACTCCTGTGATGGAATAAAAAACAGTTTGCATGGAATTTTTCTTGGTGTGAAAAAATGACATGCTGCAATATATAGGAGGGCTAACAAACTCATGCTAAGCAGCAAGTCTTAGCACTTTCTTGTAGGGCATTATATGAATGAACAGAACACTTCATTTGCTGCTTTTCAGCGTTCACAAGGTACAATCAAGATTTCCACATTCAAACCCCTTCCCCACCCAATCCAAATCCCTTCAAGGACATTTAATCACTTCAAAGCAGGTGAAAAAGCACAAATTGATGACAAAAAAGAAAATACAATCCACAAAATAAAACTGGACCTCTGACATGTATGCATACAACCACTCATTTCCTGACATTGAATATAAAGTAGCAGTAAAAGTTTATTTAAAGCACATAAGGTCTTCAGCTTGTTCCTGTATGAGGTTTAGTTGAATGAAAAATATAGAGAATCTTTGATGATAAATCATATAAGGCCAACAGTTTATCTTGATCCTTTAAGATTTCAGAAAGTGTCTCTTCATTGAATTTCAGTACTTTTCAACGCATTATATTGCATGCATTTCAATTAATGAGGTGAAATGAAATTTTTTTTTACCCCAATTCAAAGCTTTGGAATTCAAAAAGGGAAAAGTTGACATTCTGAAATGTTGACCTGTATAATGCATATTGTGAATTAAAGTTGGACCACAATAAGATAAGGAAGCCGCAACACATGAACAAATAAACTTAAATGGACCCTTAAAGAAAAAAAACTTCCCTCAAACTATGGGCAATGTCTTCAGGTATATATTCAGAAACTGACAAACTTTCTACAAGAGAAACAAACCTTTTTAATTTGTAAAATTTTGAAATCTCTTGAACCCAGCAATGAGTTATGTTCAAAAAATAAAAAGTAACTTCAATTCAAAATCCAAAACAGGATAATTTTGTGCCTCTCTTTTCAGGGGTTTACCCATCATTTGTGTACAGTATAGCAATGCATGAGCTTATTATTTGCCTTTTTGGCTCCTTTTCCATACCAGAAAGGGCAGATTTGTGCATGATTTCCTTGTGCATTTATTTTTTGCATCTTGTAGTAAAATTAAATATCAATTTCCCTGTTTTTTTAATGTATTGAAAACAGGAGAACACATTTAATATGATTCCATTAAAGTCTATGGAAAAAATGATCAAACATGCAAACATGCTCTGACATTGGGTCATAATCCAAGAGATTATTTTATCCTCATCATCATGGGGCCACATAAGAGATTTCAAGGTCAATAAAGGATTTTTGTGATATGGTGGAAGAATTACATGTGTCTCCACTGATAATACAGTACAGCAATTCTGTTAGACTAGTACTACTTATAATCTGATCTCAATCTATACCTTTATGAAGTTAATCATCTTCCTTGCAGTACAAGCAAATGGAATAACAGAAACAGGTTCTTGTTGCCCATCAGGACCAGTTGTGGTCCCACAACCACAAGTCAATGAGGCAATTATCCCAAGTACAAGTAGAATCAGGAAAAGTCTCAGAAAGTGCATCAGAAGATTTGTCAAATAGTATTTCCATTTTTCAACAAATCCCGGAGATCTGCACAATTCTTCAGAAGTCCATCGTGATTTCCTGTATCCACAGCAATCCGACACTGGAAATGTGTTCGGGGAAAAAAGCATTAGGATGGTTTCCCTGTGACTTTCCTTTTGAAATTATTGCCACTGGGAAATTCTCTCAGGCAAGAACAATTTATCATGGTCCATCAATCCACCATTTCTTCCTGTTCTCAACAATCTCTTCCTACTTTCATTTCTGAGTTACTGTACTATGAAAGTACAGTCAACCCCCATCTAATGGACTTGATTCGTGCAAGGGACAAGTCTGTTAGACAAAAAGTCCTTCACACGAATTCAATTACATAAAAAATTAAAAATTTCAATTTTNAAAATTTCAATTTTCAACACATAATTTTAAACCAAAATAAGTCTATTTGGCGGATTTAGTCTGTTGGGCGGGAGGAAAAACTGCTTGCAGAGCTGGTCTGTTTGGCAAAAATCCCTTGCACGGGAGGTCTGTTAGGCGGGGGGCCACTGTACTGTAATAAGCCTTGAATTTGTTTTTTATGCTACAAACAAATGCTTAGATGATGAAATGGACAAGATTAATCTTGGAAACATATTTAAAACTGTCAATAGCTGACCAGTGATGGTAGCAGCTCCTCCAGGTCTGAGTTTCAAAGCAAGATCTGCAAGATCCATTCCACCAAATTCTGAACTGCAAGTGCTTTTAATTTTCAGCAAGGATTTCAGTGACAGTTCTGGTTTGTCCCCTGGACAAGGATTTTTTGGTGGCTCCACAGTCCAACTATAGTTCCTCTGTCCAGTTGGATCAATCACCTAAAGACAAATCGGCTCTTATTCAAAATAAAAATTCATCAAGAGCCAACAAATTCATTTGATCTCACACAAAAGGTTACCAAAGCTTTCCCAAAAATGGGAAACACAACATCATTTGAATATCCTGAGGGGAAAGGAAGCAAGGGATGTTTGATCTGCTTCTTATGTGTAACCATCTTCTCTGGCACCATTGCAGTTTTCAGACTTTTTGGCACTGATCCAGTCACAGCAGCATAAGCAACATCCCAGACATAACCCAGAGATGTTGACAAGATCTCAGCCACTGAAGCCAGTGCCAAAAGGAAACCATAAGTGAGCAAAGCCACTTGTGAAAGCACCACATGTGGAATCCATCCAAGTTCCTTCAAGCTTTTCCTGATCTCAGTTTTAGCCTCTCTGACTTGCTTTCTGAGGCATGGGGTGAAAGATGAATGTAATAAGCTTGAAAAGAAGTAAAATACATAGCTGATGGCCCAGACAATGGTGTAAGCAAAAAGTGCTGTTAAAGCAGCCAACAGACAAATTGTTGGAGTGTTTCCAGGGTCTTCGTAGTTGCAGAGTCTGCGCTGGAATCTCTTGATCCATTGAAGCAAGAAAAATGACCTCCTTTGTACAGGATTGGCATTGCAATGATGTTTTCCTTTTGCTAGTGTTGTTCCTGTTAGAGGACGGTCTTCTGGGGCACAGAAATTTTCAGCCTCATCATCTTCTTCTTCTGGCTCAACTATTTGAGTTTGTTCCAGGGGTAGATTTTCGCAGTAAGATGGAGGAGGACATGGTGGCACTTTGGGGTTGAGGTAACCTGGAGCTGGTGCTATTTTAGGTATATTTGGACTTGGGTTGGCCTCAGGTTGGGTGTCTGCTGGGCTGGTGGCAGACTCAGACATAGTTGAAAATTTTAGTCATGAGGTTAAGTTATTGTGAAGGGAAAGTAAAGAAAGGATAACCTTTCAAGGTTTCTTCCTATAGACACATGTGAATTGAGAGGAAAACTGTTTTGAGAAGATGTTTTTCTCATGCTGTAAAAGAAGGATGTGTGATATGGACCATGTGGTAGACCTTTAGTCTATGTTGGGGACTGAGACCTGTAAATAACTACCAATAAACTACCAATAAACTGACCTGTCTCCCTGAAACTTTATTGCAGGGCTTCTATAGCCTCAGAGCACCAAAGAACTTGCCCCCAGAAACCTTCAAAACTTGTACAACAATGCTGTACATTGTCTGATATTTTACCCTTCTTATAGACTATCAGAGAGCAGCAAAGAATCCTAATCTTCACCAAGAACGCATTTAACGCAAGCCTTCCTCAGTAATGCATAATAAAAACCTCAAAAGCTTAAAACCAACAGAACATTCTCATTCAGAATCTCATCACCATTCTCAGCTTCCACCACTTGAAATACAGTACTTCTGGAAGAAATTGTGTGAATTATTTTGTGTCTGTGCTTTTCTTGTAGAATATGCTGAGTTGTTGATTCTTCTGGGACATAAATAAATATTAATTTCTTGAAGCCTCAGCAAGTCCCTGGCTGATTGTGGTGTTCAACTCATAATTTCTCTTTGTTTGGTAAATCCCTAACAGTCTAGACCTGCATTACCACAATCCAATAAATCTAAAAATATAATGTAAAACAGAATGTATGCTGTGCTTCAATAAAGGTTTTTCAAATCATCATTCAATGCTGCTATAGCCTATGTGCAAAAAAAAACACAAGTCAGTATCACATTTTTTATTCATTTTCCAGTCATGCCTCTGTTTTCTGTTTTGGATGTACAGTATATTGGGTGGAGAGTACCTTTTTTGTAATCAGCTAATAGATTGTCCTATTCTTCAAGGATATGCAGTATTGTATTGTAGCAGGATTTCTTAAACCTTTCTTTTTGTGATTAACATGCAATCTTAGAACTCCAGGAAGCATGAAAAATCCATATGGAAAAATAGGAAGAGAAGAACAGATATTAGTGAATCAAAATCTTGGGACTTGGTCATTATATATAAGCCCAGGAATAAGAGAGGACATCTTGAATAAACATATTGTGTAGAACAGTGTTGTGAAAATTACCCTTTTATCTGCTGATTTATTCACAAAATTGATTGAGACACAACTGAGCGGGAAGTTATGGTTTATAAACCCTTTTCAACTGCTGCATTCAAAATTCTTTTACAAATTCCTCATTTCATAAAGAAAGCCATTTTGTAAACTTTTTCTGCTCATGAATGAATTACATTTTTTCCAAGGTTTGAATCATGTTTACAATATTTTACCTGATGCAAAATTGTGTTTGGCATAGAGAACATTTTACAATAAGAAATTCTTCTTGGAACAGAATTATTTCTCCATGTGCAGGGATTCAGCTGATGTTACTAATCTGCTCAACATAATATTCAAACTTCCATGCAATAATTAAATCAAAGCAGCCATTAAATTTGGAAAGCCTTACAAATGAAACGTAATAAAGCAACACACAATGAAGCTATGAAGGGAAATGATAATTCTTGAATGATACTGCAAAAGCATGGCAAAAAAGGATGTACATACAGTATTATATTTTATTCGAGCCTCAACTTTTCCTATGTATGATATTTCAAAATATACTGCAAAAACACTTCAAAATGAGCAATTGAAAACTTCTTCAAGACTGCTGAACCACTTTAACATCCCCCGATGACGAACCACGTCGAATCCATTCCCTGCACTTCAAGTACACAAACTCCGCGTTGTCTGAAGGCCTCTCAGCGCCACCTGCTCCACCACGATTCCCTGCCCCGAGTCCAGCTTCCGTTTTCCAACACAAGATGTCGAACCTGTCGCCAGTCTCCCAATGCTCGTACCACCACGGTGGCCAAAATTCTCTCCTCACGGAATCGCTGGTCGCTCTCATCCCGGGTCTTCCTGATGAAGACGACGGATCCCGAAGAACCTTGCTTGATTCCCGAGCATCATCTTCGTACAAACGGGCAACATAGGCACCAACAGCTGGATTCCGATCCCTGGTATTATGACCGTGGATGTCAAGATGCTGCGCTGGGAATCCCGCTGAGAGTGCCTCCACTGTGTGTTTATAGTTTGCCAGGGACTGCAGCTTTTCTGAGCCGCGGATCCAAGAGTCCTGATGTCAGATAAAAAAAAAATGCTAGGAACAGTTTTACGGTTTTGTCAAGGGGAACCCTACCAAAAGCCCCCCTGGAAAGACCCCCTTGGTCAAAAGCCCCCTTTTTTTGGATGCAAGTTTCATAACTGTGTTTGGTGGCCCTGAGAAGGGCTGCTTGGTTTCATTAGTCCTCAAAAATGACTGTTGAATAATCATCTTCAAAATGTCCTTCTGCAGCCTCTTCCTCAGTGTCACTGATGCTCTAAATGTCATTTTCTTCTCAATGTGGCCTCCTATCTCATCTCCTTCTTCAGTAGTACATTTCCAGCACCTAGTACTGGCACTTGTGCTCTTAACCCTTGTGCAGCAAAGTTGGACTATTTTTGCGAAATTTTGTGGCACCTCAGAGAGGTTTGGAAAAAATTGATAACAGGTGTTCAAGGGCAAAGTCAGGAAAAATCTCGATGCTTTTTTCTCTGAGCACAGAAAAATTTTGCTGGCAAAAAAAATTCTCAGTTAGGCTACCAGCTTTTTTCAGATTAATCCTGACTTTGCCTCAGCCCACCTGAAATGGTTTTGGTGACCTTCCCAAAACTGAAAATGCAGGAGGATATGAAAATAATCCAACTCTGTCCCACTATGGGAAAGAACCCTCTGCCATCCAAGGGTTAACCATAAATAAATAGCCATTTTAGTATGCCTTTTCACCACCCTTCTGATTTTTGATGATCTGAAGTGCAACAGCCATTGGATCAACATGGTGAACTGTAGATTTTGCAGAAGTCAGCAAGTGGTGATGCTTTGACATTCAAAGAACCACTGATGACCACTGCAGGTGAGGAATCCCTTTATATACTCAACTTACAAAACATAATGGTACTTGGCCTTGTTCTGGGCCTGCTGGTGAAAGGTGCAGCTAGCATCAAGAGAGATACAAGAAGACCTGTAATCCCCAATTTCTGCACCAAGGGGGGCTTCTGGCAGGGGGGGGGGGGGACTTTTGGACTACATCCAATGTCAGGATGATTTTGATCTTTTAATCAAACAGTTTTGATCAGGGTTTGATCTTTCAACATTTGGGCAGCAGTGTTTCGGATTTATTTGAAAAATTTAGTGTCACAACTCACAAGACAAAACAAAAGAAAAATCAGGGATGATCAAAAGAGAGGAAGTACAGAAAAATCCCAATTATTATTTTTTTTAATTTTGGCCAACAATTTGGCTTCATTTGCCAGTTGTCAGCATTCAGACAGTTGAAAAATGTGGCTTCTCTCATAAACCAACCACCCTACTCCACCATTCAGACACATTGTGTCATATGTCAGAAGGAAAAAAAAACAATTACCTATACTATATGCTGATTACCAGAAAATCTTTCACAGTATAAACAAATGGATGAACTTGTCATATGTTTTTGTGATTACAATCAAGTTTTAAAGCACTACATGTTGGTATATTGCGACTTGAAACTCAAGTCTTCAATTTCTGTTTCAGTTACAATTGTATTCTGCTCTAATTCAAATTTTTCTGGCATTTTAAAACCAAACAGTGAAGATTTGGAGATTTTAGTTTATTTCCAATTTAAATCAAGCACTTCTTTATTTCACGCATTCCAACTATAAAGAGCAAAATTCGTTTCCTTTTTTATTCGATTTTGCTTTGAACTGTTTTCCCTCTTCTGTTGAAAAATTTAACCAGAAAATGTTTTGGTATTGCTTCGTAATCAAAATTTGCAAGCTAATATACAGCTAGCTGTACCAACTTTGGTTCCCGAAGCATTCCTGGAATACCGCTTGAAAATCTTGAGCCAGTGCTTGGAAAAGCCTTCGGGCAGCCAAGCGAAGGCGCCTTCATCGTCGCCTTCGCCGCCGTCGCCGGGCTCAGACGGCGGCGGAGTGGCGGAGCGGTGCATGAGTGCAGCTGGGTCAGTGCCGGTGTCACTGGTGGGCACCTGCAGCAAGATGCAGCCCTCGGCGGAAGTCCATTTGGTGCGTTGGTATTGGTCCACACGCAGTTTCCGGTTCCTCGTGGAACCCATCACAGGCGTGTCTGTCCTTTCGAATGACGACTGCTGCTGCTGTTGGGAAGTTGATGAGGATCTGATGGGCAAGCAAAAGGACTGGGCCCTGGCTCGCAGCACTGGGGTTTTGTTGCTTGATGATGTTGATGGTGGTACTTGTGGTTTACTGCTGCTGCTGCTGCTGGGCACTGGTACTCTGATAAGGCAAGATAAAGGGTAAGTTGAACGTTGTGTGGCATAAAGTCAGGTTACTTTTGCTGAGCTTCTGTGCCCATGAGCACCAACAATTTGAAATTATTTTTAATTTTTGCACCAAGGACTAAGCCAGGAAAAAGTCCAATAGAATTGTTATAGTCCTACAGAAAAATTTGCCTAAAAATGAAAAATCTGGTACTTTCCTGTTATTTCAGTATACCTACTCTGCAAGACCGCACTACCATCCAGACAAATTTTTAGGACAAGTGCATTATCACAAGGACCTACCAGAAACTGTGAATTTTATTTTTCCACATTCTGCTGAAACTGATTTTGGGAGGCAGTTAGGTAAAGTTAGGTTAGGTCAGGTTATGTTGGTTACAAATATCTTTTAATTAACATAACCTGACCTGACCTAACCAAACTTTACCTAACCACCTCCCAAAATCAGTTTCAGCAGAAACCCAAAAGAAAGCAGAGACTGATTT